GAAAAATTTACTTACATTTTAACTAAAAATTAAAACTAAAGCTGAAAATATAAAAACATTCAAAATATTGATAAAAGCTATAAATATAAACTGATTCAAAATATTCTAATAATATCTCAAATTAGTATGCCATCTATTTTAATATCTAATAGTATGTCAATAACACTATAACTATCTATCTTTTGTCTGTTATTATCAAAATGTGTAATATATATATATATATATATATATATATATGTAGTGAGAGAGAGATAAATACATTTCAGTAATTATTTGCAAAAATATGTATTTATAAATTCTTTTACCCCAATGAAACAATAACTAAATAGAATAAAATGGTGATCAATAAGAATAATTTAGCTTCTTGCTAGCTTATTTAAGTATTTCTGTAATGTCTGACCTTTAAATTATTGAAATGTAAAAAAATAATAATAATAATTTTTCCAAACAAAAGTGTATGTTGGTCAAACCAATTATTTACCTGTCTTGATATAATAAATAATACAGTGTACTATATTTCCAGTTTATGTTTTGTATATATGTAATTGTGTAGGTGTAGAATCGGTAGGTAGTAGTACATTATATTTTAGTGGGCAAACAACTGAAAGGGAAGAATTCATGTAATAAATGCACTAGATATAATGGATTTGATTCTGTTAAAGTATTGACTTTTTATTATTTTATTTTTGTCCTTATGGCGTGCTTGTTAATGTGTCTAGAAGCTTCTTAAATCTCCTACTGTGTATTTCAGTTGTGTAGCTTTAGGCACTGTTGCAGTTAGGTTTTGGGAAGCAATTCCTCTGTGATCCACCCCTCCCTCTCCCATGAGATCCCTGTTTTATTATGGCGATGAGGGTTTGTGCTTAAGCAGGGTTAGACACTTGTCTGTGTCTGTGTTTGAGTGTGGAAGGCAGGGGCTGGGTGGAGAACAGACCCTTCTTTTCCACAGCATTGACCCCTGTTATATAGACCCAAATATTCTGTGTAGCTGTCTGCTTTTGCTGAACACAAAAATGCTCTCTAAGCTTGTTATGACGGGGACCCGATGACCTAGAATACTAGTGTTGGGTGAGGTCTGTGATCTTGAGAGCTGAGGTCACAGCTAAGGCCTTTAGCAGTGTGTGTGTGTGTGTGTGTGTGTGTGCGTAAAAAGATTGAAATTAGCACAAGCATGCTGAAAATGTTGTAGAGTTTAGTAAACTTGTGCAAGGTAGCATGCTGTGTCTTTAAACGCCCTGACATTGTAAAGTGTAAAATAAGCTTTTTAAGTGCTGAGCCCAAATGCAATTTAAGCCTGATGTGAACTATGGTTGGTTTGCATTTGAAAGCTGTTGTAAATAATGATATATTATTGGCTTTTTCTAGCTTAGTAATTTCCCATTTGGACACAATGTGCAGTCAGTCTGTCTCTATAAGGCTACGTCCACACGAAGCCAGAGCTTTCCCTATCCGATCTTTTTTCCCCTTGTCTCAAGAAATATCTGCATCCACACGAAACCACAAAACCGACACAAAGCGATGTAGTATACATGCCAGACCAGTATGTGGCGCTGTAATTCTGCCACAGAGATACACTAAAAATGGAGAAGAAGACTTGGACTATGCACATAAACCTTCCGTGCGGTATACAAACAAACATGGAACAATACATTTACAAATCTGTGTTAATGTTAGTTAATAAAAAGACAATCGTTCAGTGTTTGTTCATGTTGTTGTTGTTTTTGGACCCGGTTTCAAAAAATATCGGTTTCACTCTCCCAAAACGCCAGATCCGTGTGGACGAAACGCCTATATGATACAAAATGTATGCGTA